TTTACCTCTGATTTAATCCTCCTCTTCTCATGGTCCGGCAGTAAAACTAGAATCCTCATCTTCCCATGTAAACAATAATGTACATATACACACCAGCACACCCACACACACACACACACACACACACACAGAGCAGCTGCTCTTCCTCTTTCTGTTCCAACGACTGTTGAAAAATGGGGAAACGTCTCTTTAAGAAAGAAACAAAAAAAACAACTCCCAGTTATCTGTCTGACACACACACACACACACAGACACACACACACACACACACACACACACACACACACACACACACACACACACACACACACACACACACACACACACACACAGACACACACACACACACACACACACACACACACACACACACACACACAGTCTCCACCCACTGAAAGGAGGAAGTCTGGAAAACTGAACTGATATTCTGCTCTGACAGTTGTCCTGTTAGCCACAGAGCTAACAAACATGCTAACTAAGTGTTTCTGCTTCCTGAAGTCCCGTTCACTTTCCCACAGACAATATCACAGACTCACTGCTGCAGCAGCCTACTCCCAACGACTGATGAACAACCACACTAAACTATATCTGGAAGAATAAGCCTGTGTGCTAACAGCAGCTGGAATCTAAAGATTCTAAAAAACAAACACTTAAAATATGGTTTAATAGAATGAATTCAGCAACTCTCAAGGTGTTGCAGCCGGTTGGAAGTCGTACAATGATGCAAAATAATAATAACAATAATCAATAATTCACCTTAATTATGCATTAAACTAAAGTAACGATTTTGACAATGTAAAGAGTAGAAAGATATTTATAAGATATTTGTATAAAAAAGTACAGATACCTGAAACAACTTCCTGCTACTGCTTCAAACAGAATTCCTCTGAAACAGACTGAGAGGGTATTCCAGTCTTCTACAACCTGTTTGCGGAGGTCAGAAAATCTCCGGATTAATCCATAAAAATCACATTCCTGATTATTGATATATCCTGATATTTCTGACACACCTGCTGCCTTTGTTTCTGCAGTGAAGTTTGATGTGAATATTGTTGTTAAATCAATAATCGATTCTATGCAGATGATGCCGTTGTATATACCACAGCTGTGGAGGGCCGTCTTATATTCAAAGACCAAACATTTACAACATAGTACTGACTCTTAGGGAGTGTTGCATTATGGGACGTTTGTAGCCTTAACGTTGCTAAGCTAGTCTGTTAGTGAGTCAGTGAGCAGTGAATGAGTATCAGTGGTCCAATTCATTCTGTAGGAGTGATGAGAGAAACCTAAAGCTGCTAGTTGTGCTGTATCTTCACTGTATGCTTTTTGTATGTTCACTGTATGTTCTCTGTATGTTCAATATATGTTGTCTGTATGTTCACTGTATGTTGTCTGTATGTTCACTATATGTTGTCTGTATGTTGTCTGTATGTTCACTATATGTTGTCTGTATGTTCTCTGTATGCTTTCTGCATGTTGTCTGTATGTTGTCTGTATGTTCACTGTATGTTGTCTGTATGTTGTCTGTATGTTCACTATATGTTGTCTGTATGTTGTCTGTATGTTCACTATATGTTCACTGTATGCTTTCTGTATGTTGTCTGTATGTTCACTGTATGTTGTCTGTATGTTGTCTGTATGTTTACTATATGTTGTCTGTATGTTCACTATATGTTGTCTGTATGTTCACTATATGTTGTCTGTATGTTGTCTGTATCTTCACTGTATGTGGTCTGTATCTTCACTGTATGTTGTCTGTATGTTCACTATATGTTGTCTGTATGTTGTCTGTATCTTCACTGTATGTGGTCTGTATCTTCACTGTATGTTGTCTGTATGTTCACTATATGTTGTCTGTATGTTCACTATATGTTGTCTGTATGTTGTCTGTATCTTCACTGTATGTTGTCTGTATCTTCACTGTATGTTGTCTGTATGTTCACTATATGTTGTCTGTATGTTCACTAGATGTTGTCTGTATGTTCTCTGTATGCTTTCTGTATGTTGTCTGTATGTTCACTATATGTTGTCTGTATGTTCTCTGTATGCTTTATGTATGTTGTCTGTATGTTCACTGTATGCTTTCTGTATGTTCTCTGTATGTTCACTATATGTTGTCTGTATGTTCTCTGTATGTTCACTGTATGTTGTCTGTATGTTGTCTGTATGTTCACTGTATGTTGTCTGTATGTTGTCTGTATGTTCACTATATGTTGTCTGTATGTTCACTGTATGCTTTCTGTATGTTGTCTGTATGTTCACTATATGTTGTCTGTATGTTGTCTGTATGTTCACTGTATGTTGTCTGTATGTTCACTGTATGTTGTCTGTATGTTCACTATATGTTGTCTGTATGTTGTCTGTATGTTCACTGTATGTTGTCTGTATGTTCACTGTATGTTGTCTGTATGTTTACTATATGTTGTCTGTATGTTGTCTGTATGTTCACTGTATGTTGTCTGTATGTTCACTGTATGTTGTCTGTATGTTCACTTTTTTG